AGAAATTTATATAACAGAACAGAAAAGAAACAAACTCAGCGTTTGTTCTTTAATTAGGCATGTATCAATAATTGAAACAAACCGTTATCACTAATTGCTTTCAACTCTCTATCTATGTATATATATATATATATATTGATACTTGTTATACTCAAACATTATTCAATATTACAAATCATGTCATTTCCTCTTGATTCATCATATGGTTATTCTTCAGGTGATGATTCTTTTTCTTATATTTCAGATCCATATTATTGTCCTGTTCACAATCCTGTTCCACAACCGCCTTCTGTTGGCTATTGTACTTTTCAACAACCATATCCATATTATTATCCAGTTACAATACCTCAACAACAAGTAAGTAGTCCAATATATTCTTCTTCTGTATTTCAGGTTCGTCCAGAAAAAACTCGTCGTTTTTTCTCCGGAACAAATTCAAATTCTTGAAGAACATTTTTATAAAGTAGATAAGTATGTATCAAAAACAACAATCGATGATCTTTCAACTCGAACTCAATTAACGCCAGCTCAAATTCGTGTTTGGTTTAATAATAAACGTACAAGAGAACGTCAATAATTCATTTTTTTTTGTATCAACTTTTTTTTCTTTTAATTAAAATAAAATAAAATAAAATAACTTACTCTTGATTTCATTCTCTTAATGTTCGATGAAAAAACAATTAATCGATTAGGATTTTTAACACAATCAGCAAGACCATGAAGTTTACGTTCATGTTGAGCATCTTCATCTGATGATATAATATTTAATGGTTTATTTGCAATGACTGGATAAGTTAATAAATTATACAAAGACGAAATATTAATGAAAAAAACTTTGCACGAACAATCCATCAAATTAATCAAGAAGATAAAATAAACTAGATTAGTTTCTATCATGATGGGTTTAAGTGACAAAAAATGATAATCGAAATGTATATGCATATAGTATCTCATATATTAATGATCACATAATATTCAGCCGTATATAACCATATAAGGAAATCACCATGTGTTAATTAAAGTTTTTTAAAATTATGTATCTCCCGCACGGAACTGAGTTTCAAAAAACGGATTTCAGATTTGCACTGGGCACGTTCTTGCGAACATGACAATCTTTTTCCGATAAAGAACGATGCTTACATGCTAAGAACGATTGGCTGACTTGGATCGTGACTTAAGTCATTCTTATTCGGATAGTAATATTTTATTTGAAATTAGATTTTTCCTAAATTAAAGATCGATGATAATACTAAAGAAAATATTAGTATCCATATTCAATCAGATACTAGGATTTATTGCTCTTTTACTTTTAATCATAGTTGATCATATTTAACTCGTACCCGTTGTATCGAAAGTATTATAGAAGAGAATATTTGTCGTTCTATATCTAATAATTGATTTTGTTCATAAATTGTGAATGATGTATAGTGAAAGAAGCTATGAAGCATTCTCTTCAACAATATCAAATGATTTCTTCATTGAGAAATACAGATGAGAACTCATAACTTATATTGAAATCGATCGTATGAGTACAGAATCTAATTAAACAATAACTTGATAGTTAGCAGTCAAGTTT